CTGTCCTGTAAGGTTCTGAACTAAAAAGTTAAAACAGTTAAAATTAGAAAGGTAACATTTGCATGTTGACCTTCGCATATGGTCTGCTCTGTTAGTTCTTACTCAAACACATTGATACGATATATTGTCAGATAGGACTCTAAATCCCTCCTGCTGCAACATATCCCAAGTTACCATGGTGACAGACGTCTGGTTCAGGTCATTGACCTTATTGGTTTGGAGAAGAAGAGGAGACAGAGCAAAAACAATATGTTTTTTGTCGGTAAACATAATAACAACTAATGAAAACTCTGTTAACAAGAGAAACCCCGGGGGGAGGGGGTGCTGCTACAAATCAGATGACACCCAGGCTAGGTAAAACTACTAAACCTAAAAGGAATCATTACAACCTTACAAGGTATGTTATTAGTACTTAGCAGTACATCTAGTTCAGGTCCAGCGGACTCATGTTTTGATCCACAGAAATTCTGCATCATCTTTTTGGTGGAAACAATGAAATATTACGAGTGTCTTAGAGTGTTACCTCTGGCTCCTTAAAGTTCTTTTTTAGGTTGTCAACATCCATCGTCTTCCTAAAGGTAAGATGCTGGAAAGGAACGGAGAAATCATAAGTGACAAAATGAAAACAAAAATCAAATACCTCTCTTGATGGAAAGATAGATAAATGTTAACTTTTAGTATCCTCCTTAATAATTTCATCAGGTGGTAAACGAATGAATCGTAGCAAAGTTCTTTGATCACAACCATTTATTTTTCACGAGCCGACGTTTCGATGACCGTCTGTCATCTTCATCAGGGCAATTCTGACTGGTTAACTGTGCACTGGCGCTAGATGTTACTTGGTGCACAGTGCACTAGAGGTGTTACATAGTTCACAGTGCACTGTTACTTGGTTCACAGTGCACTTAGCTAGTTTTTACTGTTAACAATGCATTTCCGGAACGTAGCGTAATGACGTGAGGCACTATGCACCAAGTAACATCTAGCGTCAGTACACTGTAAACCAGTCAGAATTGCCCTGATGAATATGACAGACGGTCATCGAAACGTCGGCTGTGAAAAATAAATGGTTCTGATCAAAGAACTTTGCTATTTATTTTAGTATTCTGTTTGAATCGAGATAGGGATATGAGTTTTAGAACTTGAAGTATACTCACTGCTCTGTACATCTGCTCAGCCTTGTCAATATTATACCTTCTTGCTGGGGTTCAGGAAAATATAGAAAAAAAACTGTGAGCAAACGATATTTGTGGTAATTTCATTTCTTTTAATCTTACTTCGTTCAATGAAGCAAACAAGATATGTAATATTCTGTGGACGACTCGTTACAGGGACGCTAACATAGACGTTGCTTGGTCAGCTTGTCAATAAACAACAAAACAGGAACTAGATCAATGGGTCTAAGCATGAAAGTTCATCTGTGTTAACTTCTAGTATCCTGTTTGAATCGAGATAGGGATATGAGTTTTAGAACTTAAAGTATACTCACTGCTTGAAGTATCATTCATTATGACAAAAAGGGTTAAACGTTCAGACAACACTGAATAAATTAGGTCTTACCCAAATTTTCGGCCGACGAGAATGGACCCGTCTACTGCAGCTTCCGGGACGTGACGTCGGAAACACGTGATTACAGCAGAGGGGCGTACGTATCAGATAACCTGTGTCGCCCCCCGTCTCTGTTCAGTGTTGTCTGACACGTACGACCCTTTGCTGCAATCACGTGTTGCCGACGTCACGTCCCGGAAGCTGCAGTACTAGACGGGTCCATTCCGTGAACAAGGCTGACGGAGTCGGCCGAAAATTTGGGCAAGTCCCAATTTATTCAGTGTTGATCTGAACGTTTAACCCTTTTCGGCATAATGATATCAGGAACTTCTGAATAGCCTTCTGAAAGGTAACAGTAGCCTTACCTTTCAGCCACCTGTTGAGGTACTGGTTATCCATGTGGGGCTGGGCAACATCCTGAAGTCTCTCACTGAACTGTGTAACAGTTATGCAGAGAACATATCTGTTATATCTGGTAAATTGTATGCGGATTGAATAGCAAAGTTCTTTGATCACAACCATTTATTTTTCAAGATGACCGACGTTTCGATGACCGTCTGTCATCTTCATCAGGGCAATTCTTACTGGTTTACTGTGTTACATGGTTCACAGTGCACTGTTACTTGGTTCACAGTGCACTTAGTTTTTACTGTTAACAATGCATTTCCGAACGTAGTGCAATTGTGACATACATACTAGGCATTGTTACATCATAGGGACATATGCGGTTCCAAATGCAAAAGGGTTTCTATATATACTAGTAATATAAAATTGGTTAACTAACAATACTGAGCTATCGCAGCCCCAAATAGAAGTTATTGTTAAAGTATTGTCACATACGTATTGTTAGAAATCACAGTAAACCACAGTACACAGTAAACCAGTCAGAATTGCCCTGATGAAGATGACAAACGGTCATCGAAACGTCGGCTCGTCAAAAATAAATGGTTGTGAGACTGAAGTTGAGGTAATAATCGCAAGTTGTAATAATCGCAAGTTCTTGCCTGAAGTCCAATTGCATGTAACAGCACAGACACAGTAAAGGGCAATATATAACATATTCTAATTCCCTGGCGCCAGTACAGTCATCTTTTTTAAGACAGTGGGAGACGAAAGTATTTAACGTTAACTGTTACCTCCTTCAAAATCTGCTCTTCTTCCGCACTCATCATGTCTTCTTCCTTATGGACAGTCAAACGACCTGTGATTAGTCCAAAGCGCGATCATTGGAACACAGGTCCACGGTAGAGGTGAACTTTAGACGTTGAGCTCTGACGTCATGACATCCACCCCTAATTTTCGTGTTTTGACCTTTGACTGGCTTACCCTGGAAACCAAACTCGTTTTCCGGTCCGCAAGAGCCCTTCGCCCGCTGGTGTAAATTACCGCTACGGGGGTCTAGCCCGGGGGGAGTTTGGCTGGCCCTACAAAACCTCCCCACGGGCTCAATTCCACCGCAGCGGTAATATAGGTCTGCGGGCGAAGGGCATCTGGCTGCCGAAAGAAACGGCTAGCTGCCCGTAAACTTGGCTAGCACCCAGGATATGAACGGCTAGGACTTTGAGTATAGGACGCATCGGACTTTCATGTTTACTGTATGTTGTCCATTCTTGTTTTACTGTATGTCACAATGTCTTGTCTTGTAATTTTTCTGGCCCCCCTTGGAAATCAGCTGACGCAAGCTGAATGGGGCCACCCAGCCGTCTTGTGATTAAATAAATAAATAAATAAATAACTAAATAAATAAATAAATGAATGAATGATTAAATAAATAACTAAATAAATAAATAACTAAATAAATAAATAACTAAATAAATAAATAAATAAATAAATAAATAAATAAATAAATAAATAAATAAATAAATAAATAAATAAATAAATAAATAAATAAATAAATAAATAAATAAATAAATAAATAAATAAATAAATAAATAATCTAATTCTGCACAGCAACACACAAGGTCACAACAACAACAAATACAATCCACTTCCGGGTTCAACTTACCCGTACATTTTGAACGTGCCACTACAAGAAGGGTTTTTTTTGCGTGATAAATTTTGCAACAAGGTTTTGGCAATAGTGTAGATTTTTTCAATCAAACCGTAATAAAGTTTGCCATGTAGCATTTTGTAGTTATCACTAAGCGCGTGTTGTGACTACTTCTACAGGTCAAATCCGTGAGAAAAGCATCATTTCGTGTCATAATCGAGCAGTAGAAAGAAAAGTCCTATTGTGTTTCCCACAATGTTATCCGTTATCAACCTAAAAACAATCACATTTAGCTTCATTATCAGTTCAAACTGGATAACTCAACAGCTCAACAGCTTCTCTACTCTTCTCTACTCTTCTCTACTCTACTCTACTCTACTCTACTCTACTCTACTCTACTCTACTCTACTCTACTCTACTCTTCTCTACTCTACTCTACTCTACTCTACTCTACTCTACTCTACTCTACTCTACTCTTCTCTTCTCTTCTCTACTCTACTCTACTCTACTCTACTCTACTCTACTCTACTCTTCTCTACTCTTCTCTACTCTACTCTACTCTACTCTACTCTACTCTTCTCTACTCTTCTCTACTCTACTCTACTCTACTCTACTCTACTCTACTCTACTCTACTCTACTCTACTCTACAGTAGTACTCTACTCTACTCTACTCTACTCTACTCTACTCTACTCTACTCT